TGTTTTTACTTAGCTTCACTTTCATTTTTTTGTGTTTCTAGCACAGACAGCACTCATAAAGTCCTTTATTCATTAAAGATGCGTTAAGTTATCCCCCCCCAGTCGAGACGTCTCCTGTCTGCTGGCCATTATTTATATTGAGCATTCCATACATAAGTCTGCGATTTTCCTTTGATAATTAAGATGTGTACATTAGTTCGCTTGCGTGTTTGCGCCCCACTGCGTGAGCTATATTCTCAGTGACCCCATCTTCTTCAGTCCTTTTTTACTCATTTGCGAAGGCGGTCCGATCCTGCAGTATAATGCTTATATTAGCAAGCTTGTGTCTGATAACTGAGTTATTCGTGGGTGGGTCACATGGTTGGATGGTCCACCCCATTGGCACTGCCAACATCCTAATTACCCAACATAAAAACGTTTGCTGGCCCAGTGCGTGTGTCTTTGATTAGCGTTGGGTAATGAGTTTTTAGATTGTCCTAGAGAAGTTGTCACGATGGTATTTCCTTAGTGAAATGAAAACGACCTCATTTGCGACGGAAGTCCGCAAGCTAATCATGATTATCTTTGTTTTGCTCTATATCTTGATTTTGTTGGTTAAATTGGTTAAGAGCTGTTGATATTTATGCGAGAATATGTACAAATTAATATTATATAATAGATTGTTTGTTTGGTGATATAATTTATCGATAATTTATATCTAAAAATAAAAAAATATTTTTTTATTTAAGTGCACTTTATTATTTCAGACATTATCTTTGTTTCAACTATTAATTCTTAAAGTGAAAAAGTTAAACACTGCAAAAAATCGATTTCTCTCATCTGCTCTATCATATTTGTCCGATAGATAGTCCTTTGTTTGTGATAACAATGAACAGGCCATAAAAAGGAATTACCACAGCGGCATTGAAAAGCTCACAAAGCGGCTCATAAAGCGCAAAACCGAGACCAGAACGTGGCATGCAATAAAACGCAATTTAAGAACCTTTTAACAAGCAGATGGGTGGGTAGAGCAAATGGAATGGGAGTTGCAGCCAAAGCAGGCATTTATGCCTCGCATTTGGTAATCAATGTTCCCCAATACGCTAAAAATCCTTTCAATACCACCAGGCAAAGCAGAGTCCAAAATGGAATGAAAATCCTGTTGGCTAACAAAAAGGGTCTCATGGCTTATGCAGGACAGATCTACTCGAATATAGGGATTGGCCAGACTTGGGTGCAAAAATGAACAATAAAATAAAGTTGATTAAACCCCCGGAGACAAAGTTTATTAGCGAAATCGTTGCTGGCATAGTGTTTTGGCGAGCCGACTTAGAATATATACATATGTACATTTTTCAGTAAATATGTATTGCAAAGAACGCAGAAGCTTATCCGTCGTCTTTTGCCAAACATTTGCCAGACAATGCTAGCGAAACACAGACAGCACGCTTTTTAAGAATATTAAAAAGCAACTTACACTATTCCACGTTCTATGGTAAGTTAAAGTTTTTAAGTTATGAGTTATAAAATAGTTAATCTTATCAAATAAATTTGGATTTTCATAAATAAAACAATTTTTTTCCAAAAAAAGTTTGTTAAGAATTGTTCATTAACATTTTATTGTAATATTTTATAATTATTGAGCTGACTAGTGTAATCAGGAGCGAATTGTATGGCGGCAATGCACAAATATCGCTCCAGCCAACAGTGCCAACATCCGTCCCCGAGCTACTCAGCACCCAGTTCGTGTATTCCTCTCTAAAAACACAACGGATATGAATATACCCTAAAGCTATCAGACAGCGTAAATGAGCGTGTATTGAAGATAGAAATGGCTGCAAAGTGAATAAGAACACTGAAGGAGGGATATACTGGGATATATACAGAATGGCAGCGCTCAAACTGCACCAAAGCACAAAAACAAACAAAACACGGCTAAATAGCAGGATGGCCATGGGAGCAGGGAAAGCTAAACCATCTATCCCATAGCTTCACAGTTTCCACCACTTCGCATTCAGCTCAGCTCAAACTCCAGAAATGTCTGCTCTGTCTCTGATACGAGCAAATCTGTTTGGCAAAAAAACAGGGGGAAAATTTAAAAAAAAATGAAAAAAGGGGCAAGTGCACAATACCAGCAACAGGAAAGTTTTTCAAGCGCAATGTTTGCAGCTCTTTAGTTCGTTGAGGATTGCAATTCGCTTCACAGAAGCCCAATGTTTTCGTGAAACAAGGAAGGCAGATTAAACTGCGAAACAAGGAAAATCAAAACAGTCCAGCTAGCGATTATTATCATGCTGCATAGGATCACGAAATGGTTTCGTAAATGAACTTTGCATTAGCATGCATGTAAACAAATCTTTTTATTAGGGATTTAGTACTCTACGTTATGCAACATTACCAACTTTTACTCGAAAATTATTTAATAGAACTAAAAAGGTAGGATGGATTTGTATAAAATTTACATTTATTTGTTGATACGGTATATGAACATTATGGTATAAAGTAACCATCTTGACACTTTTTCTTTATTCACATTCAGTAAGATCAGCGAAGCGCAAACTAATCAGTTCCTCTACACCAATCTTTATACGAATTCGTTTGCATATTTTTCATTCATGTAACCCTTTCATCTTCCAAGATACATTTTTTTTTCAGTAACTGTCTCTTCCCTTTTTGGCCCCAATTTTTTTGTCCATCCGGTGGTGCAATCAACTCTTCATATTTCCCTCATTTTCTTTCCCGTAGAAAAACTGCATAACTCCAGGTCCAACTCGCGAAAAAAGGGAAGAGCTACAAGGCTCCGCAAAAAAACAAATATAAAAAACAAAGAGCAGAAGCTGTTGCACACACTCGCTTGAACACTGTGTCGATTGCGTGGGCGTAACCGGTGGGGGAAATGCTATTAACTGGTCATACCCCACGGAATAGTAAAGTTTTTTCCGCTTTTTTACGACCCCTCGCTTCAAGGCACATGGATATATACGGCAGCTATCCCATTCCCATTTCGATTTCGTTTTTTTGCCACGTCTAGAAGGCTGCCACATAATCGTATCAGCAGAAGATTTGTAATATGAAGCGGAAGAAATGGACGATAGTTTGTTTGCCGCAGACGGTTTTTATGTTTCGTATATTTTTTTTTTACCAGTTGAATGATAAATGCACACTCATTGTTGCTCGGTCAAATTTCCGGGGCGATTTATATGGCAAGGTGTTTTAGTAGGTATAAAGCATTTAAAGCTGCCTTAGAATATTTTAATTGTTGAGGTCATTTTGCGAATTTTAAGATTTTTGGTAGTTTACAAAAGTTTATCCAAAAAAAAAAAATGTATGGAAAACTGGTGAACATACAGAACATTTTTATTTAGTTTGCCGTTAGTCGAGTTTCATATTTGTTTATTTCATACCGCTACCAAACTGCAAAAAACTAACTAACTAAAATTATTATTATAATAATATCACACAAATTGAGCTTCCCGCCAACATAAAGAACACTAAAAAAGCCAACCAACAATATTCCTCCAGCACAGCGGCAAAGTTAAAGCTTTTGGCACACAAAAAAAAACTTTGGAGGAAAGTTTTGCTGATTTAACCAATTTTAAAACACACACACAAACTCAGACGGGCAAACAGACAGACGGACAGACAGCGTTGGAGGCAGACACAAAAAGCCATTCCATTGACCGCAACAGAAAAACAACACCCAAACTGTTAAAAGCCAAGGAGTGAGTGTGGATGTGGGTAAAGGTCGGGAAAAGGTGTGCGGCGGCAGCATCTGCAGCTGTAAACCGGCGGACCACAGCTCCCTTGGCCAAGTAAAAACTCATCAAACTATATTTTCAATAAATAATGACAATCGTCGGGGCGAGGGTGCTACAAAATGGCGGCCATTTTCCAACGCCCGACGACCAGCGACCAACCACCCAAAAGCACCACAGCTTCATTGATTTTATGCCATTTGGCCAGGAACCACAACCGCTACAAGCATAAAATTGAATCATAAAAACATCGAACATATATATATTTAATACATGTGTGCCACGCCTTGTCGTACGGCCCAAACATTTGCATGAGCGGGAGAAAAAAAACGCAATAAAAAGCACTACTTTTGCAGTTCTTCCTAGTTGGATTTTTTTGTTCCCCCATTTTTTTTGTGCCCGTCAGTCAACTGACAAGTCAACAGCGATGCAACCTGCAAGCCAAGGGCTGAAAGAGAGAAATACAAAAAAAAAGAGTGACAAAGGTGGAGAAATGGTGGAGAAACGTGGCCGAGATGGGGTTTCGAGTGGCTTGGCGGGTAAGTGTGGGACGGCCTAAACGAATGCTAGAGCTACTCGACGTCGGGCATTTTTCCAACTACTCTTTTTTCGACGTCCTTTGTCGGCACATATTATAAATTGCACTACGGGGAACCGCCGTGCCGAAGTGCAGAAGTGCCGGCGTGTGAATGGGACAAATGCGCGGGCCTCTAAAAACTGCACAAATGTGAAAAGATTGAGGCTGCGTTCAGGTCTGTCCACTAAGGGAGAGAATGCGGGAAGTGCTTGCAGCTTTTCGCTTTTCATGCTCAACGTTTAACATCCTCCAATCGCAATGGATGGAAAAATCATTTTCAAATGGAAACATAAAACCACAGATTAATAACTATTAAAAAAAACAAATTCAAACAAATTACATAATAAATATTTAACAAAAACTACATACACATCCACAAACACAACATTTGACAAGAAAAATAAACAAAAAACGTATTTTTAATCAAATCCAAATAGGGGTTTCTTTTTTTTAGCTGATTCGTGCTCTGCCGAAAAGTTACATTTGTTTTTGCAAGGTTTGTTAATTTATTTTAAATTATAAATTTTACTCCAAGTTATTTTAATTTAATTTTAAAAAGCTAATTAATTTACCAAATTTTATAGTTTTCTGTTTGTTAAATTACAATAACCTTTAATTTAATTCATATTCATTGGTTTATTCCCAATTTATAAACGTGAATCAAATCAGCTTCAGAGCAATGCACTTACCTCTTTTAACTCCAGAAATATCTTTTGCGTAACCTGCAAGTAAAAAACAAAAATTTTCAACTTTAGTAAAATTCAGAAGTTTATTAATTGCACTTTTCTGGTATTTTTTAATATTTTGTTGAAATGTTCAAGGACCAAAATATGCAAGCAGGCAACATAAAACAAGAAAACCGGAAAAGCGCTAAGGAGACCCCGCTCATTCTTTTTTGTGCTGTTGCTAAAAGGGGGCAAGTTGCAGCAGGGAACACGCAAAAGTATTCAAATTAAAATCCACTCGAGTAAGCAGAGTGCAGGTTTTCGGTGAAGGGCACCACCCAGCAAGATGGGGTAAGGCAAAATGTTTCCTTCCTGACCAGCCAAAAAGGCAAAAGGAAAATGTGTTAAAGGTTCGGCTTCAGATTTTTATAAAAGTCATTTTTGTATGACTGGCAAAACGAACAAAGACAAAACTGTAACCCAAAACCGAAAATCATGCAAAAACATCATAATTTAATATCTCTATGATTATTTACAAACTTTTAAAAATGGTTTAATCCTGAGCTTAAAATCAATGGATGTTCATAGTTTTTATGTAAGCAAGCCCTCATTAATATTCCCATGCTCATTTAAATGTTTTGTCGGCCTGGTAAAAGCATTTTCATGCACAAATAAATCTATGCGAAAAATGTTTTTTGTAACCAATTATTTTTGTTTGGTTCTTACAATGTTAAACGCACCGTAAACGCTAGCATTGTTTTCTGTTAGTATTTAGTGGCACGTACAATTAACGCAAAACTATATTTTTGACAAAAAAATAATGTTTACATAGAATTTGTATAATCATTATATTTAATAAATCAAATACAAAACAAATAAATAAATCAATGATTTGTGTGCTCTTTTAAAATGCTGATTAAAATTGCGTTTTAAATCAGTCTGGGGTAATCACTTTTTTAATTTTGTAGCTAAAACGAAATAAAAAAGGTGGTTTCGATTCTTTACCATCTAACTATCTCTGCGTCTTTTTTAAAACCTCTCTTTGATCTCTACACACGCATTCAGATGTGGCATTATAATTAAAAACAAAGCAAGCGCCAGGGGCTATAGAATTGTAAGCTGAATAGTGGACCAAAAAAAAGGCATTTTATATTTTAATTCATTAGATTTTTATACCCTCAGCTTTGAGAAGTTAGACAAAGGCGACTTTCCATTGTTCCTTCTCAGGACATTTTTTTTAGCTTAGGGGGCATTAACCCAGCCACAACAACCTGCCGACAAACGCGGAAAAAAATGTGAGTTGCTTATCTTGCGAAGCCTTTAAAATCACCAGTTTTATTAATTGTTTTAATTAAGGTAAGTTTAGAACACTTGCTCAGTTTTTGAGTTCTTTATTTGGGCATAATTTAATTGACACAGAAATGTCACTATCTAAATTTTATGTACCGTCGATTTTGGGGTTAATTTTTTGGGGTGGTTTTCCTGGTGGTGAGCCGCAGACTAACGAAGCGTTTATAAAGGGTTGCACATTTCAAATAAATCAAATTCGGTTTGTATACTTGCATAGCTGTTTTCAATTAAGGAAGTACAATTTATTACATTTAAATTGTATTTTTATATATTTACATATTTTAAAATTTAAAAAATGGTTTATGGTCATTACAGGTAAATAATGCTTCAATGGGTAGTTGTTTGTCTATTTTAAATTTGCCTGAATCGTCAAGGGGTAATTCGCATGTGTAACGGTCTCTTAACTATCATAACAATGCTAAAAATGATTATGAAACTCTACGCACTATTGCAGGAAACGCCACTCAGATATACCTACTTTCGTTTCTTTTCATTTCGGTTTTAACGTGCCCCCATCACCCCTGACACGCCTATTTATGGTGCATAAATCACTTTTAAATGAACTGAAGCATAGCTATAACACCTACCTCTAACATTGCCCATTGACTAAATGGCATTTGGTCCGATATTAGAAAAAAAGTATGCATAAATACATTTGTATGTAAAATGGTTTGTGCAGACGAATATTTTATTGTGAAAATTTGCAATGTCTCTTTAATTTGATTTCATCCATTTTATTTCGATGAACAAATGCTAACCGATATTCAGATAAACGACCCAACGGTTGAGAATAATTTATGTGCATAAAGTTAGCAGTACAACTTTCAAAATCTAAACTTTTTTTTTTACCATAATTTGCCGTTAATTATCCGTAAATTATTCGTGAAAGAAAAAAATTTGCCGCTCAATTTTTTTAAAAGTTATCCGATGTTCTGCTAACTTGATATCAAGTTAGCAGTACACAAAATTAAACTTTAACTTTTCGAAAAATTTCTTTTGCAGGAATTTGCCGTTAATTATCCGTAAATTATTCGTGAAAGAATAAAATTTGCCGCTCGTGTTTTACTATTTTTTTTTTAAAACAAACCCTGTGTTCTGCTAACTTGATATCAAGTTAGCAGTACACAAAACTAAACTTTAACTTTTCGAAAAATTTCTTTTGCAGGAATTTGCCGTTAATTATCCGTAAATTATTCGTGAAAGAATAAAATTTGCCGCTCGTGTTTTAATATTTTTTTAAAACAAACCCTGTGTTCTGCTAACTTGATATCAAGTTAACAGTACACATAACTAAATTTTAACTTTTCGAAAAATTTCTTTTGCAGGAATTTGCCGTTAATTATCCGTAAATTATTCGTGAAAGAATAAAATTTGCCGCTCGTGTTTTAATATTTTTTTAAAACAAACCCTGTGTTCTGCTAACTTGATATCAAGTTAACAGTACACATAACTAAATTTTAACTTTTCGAAAAATTTCTTTTGCAGGAATTTGCCGTTAATTATCCGTAAATTATTCGTGAAAGAATAAAATTTGCCGCTCGTGTTTTAATATTTTTTTTTAAAACAAACCCTGTGTTCTGTTAACTTGATATCAAGTTAGCAGAACACAGGGTTTGTTTTAAAAAAAAAATATTAAAACACGAGCGGCAAATTTTATTCTTTCACGAATAATTTACGGATAATTAACGGCAAATTCCTGCAAAAGAAATTTTTCGAAAAGTTAAAATTTAGTTATGTGTACTGTTAACTTGATATCAAGTTAGCAGAACACAGGGTTTGTTTAAAAAAAAAAATATTAAAACACGAGCGGCAAATTTTATTCTTTCACGAATAATTTACGGATAAATAACGGCAAATTCCTGCAAAAGAAATTTTTCGAAAAGTTAAAATTTAGTTATGTGTACTGTTAACTTGATATCAAGTTAGCAGAACACAGGGTTTGTTTTAAAAAAAAAAATATTAAAACACGAGCGGCAAATTTTATTCTTTCACGAATAATTTACGGATAATTAACGGCAAATTCCTGCAAAAGAAATTTTTCGAAAAGTTAAAATTTAGTTATGTGTACTGTTAACTTGATATCAAGTTAGCAGAACACAGGGTTTGTTTAAAAAAAAATATTAAAACACGAGCGGCAAATTTTATTCTTTCACGAATAATTTACGGATAATTAACGGCAAATTCCTGCAAAAGAAATTTTTCGAAAAGTTAAAATTTAGTTATGTGTACTGTTAACTTGATATCAAGTTAGCAGAACACAGGGTTTGTTTAAAAAAAAAAATATTAAAACACGAGCGGCAAATTTTATTCTTTCACGAATAATTTACGGATAATTAACGGCAAATTCCTGCAAAAGAAATTTTTCGAAAAGTTAAAGTTTAATTTTGTGTTAGCAGAACATCGGATAACTTTTAAAAAAATTGAGCGGCAAATTTTTTTCTTTCACGAATAATTTACGGATAATTAACGGCAAATTATGGTAAAAAAAAAAGTTTAGATTTTGAAAGTTGTACTGCTAACTTTATGCACATGAATAATTTACTTTCGTATAGCTATTAATCTGGCTGTTTGACAAAATCAATGCCATGGTATATACACATTTAGATGTAGATCAGATTAAACTATCAATTTAGAAGATTTAATGCCTCGTAGACTGGTGATTTTAACAGAGTCTCACAATCTGTCTGTATCAATTCAAATATTTAATTTCTTAGTAAATAACCGATTTTGTAATTACATTTTCATTAAACTATGCCAGCATTATTAATGCCTGCTTAATTTTTGTTATCAATTTTGAATAGATTTGGGTCTCATGTATTTGTATACTCTTGTAATCGAAATGTTCCGCAGACATTCATGTCTGCCTTAAAAAAATTGGAACGATGACGATGTCGAGCTTAATGTTGCTGGAACTGCTCTTTTTTGATAGTTCTCCAATTATTGTATAAAACCGCAAAGGCTGATAACACCATATAAAATACTGTTCATTTTAAAATTTTAACGAAAACTATGTTTAAAAATTCTTCAAGTGTGTTTGAGTCAGAAATTTATTTACATTTTAATGTTATTTTTGATTGAGGAATAAGACAGGCCTTGACAGACCTATTTTTCAACAAAATAAAATACTTTTCCGACTACGTTTTGGTAAATGTTTGATATTTGTTTGCTACATATTCAATCCAGTATATTGGCAATGAAAGGGCAAAAAGGAAAAAATGACATATGATACAGAAATGTCGAAAAATTGATGCAACCATTTGGTTTTGCATTTTTCAATATAAATGTACGTACGTTAGAACAAATACGTACATATACATTCATGCACAATACTTTGTGGCTGTAAAACAAATATTAAGACCATTAAGTGAATGAAAAAAATCTTGATTAAAATATACAATTCTTGAAATGTACGAAACTGATACATTCATTTTGATAATTTTGCCAATACAGATGACATATACATTTGTTGTTATAATTGCAGGCCAATAATAGTTAAGTATTTTATACATTCGGTTCAATTAGTACTGAATTTTTTGATATTCCAACTTCGTTCTATCAAAATGGATAGCCGCCTCTCATATATGGGAAAACTTTCCATATCCACATACATTCCCCTGCATATCTGGGTCCCAAATGAAATATTTAACCGCACACAGGGGCACCCAACTCCTTGCCCGAAAGTTTGCCTTTATTGGCAGCAATCTGCGTGCGCGGTAAGTCTGGGATGTGTGCATGAGCCCCACAGGCAGGGAAAAACAGATAGACAGAGATTCCAGACACAGACAGACCGAACATAATGAGCGGCATTAAAACTAATGAAAATCAACTTTGGCACACCGACGAAAAACGTCGGGGATGCCGACTAAAAGGGCGCATCCGAAGGGTATGATAATACCCCCACAGAAGCGCGCAGCATAAAAATGTCGACTTCTGTGGCAGAGTGGAGGCACAATAAAAATAAAAGCAAACGTCGCCCCATCATCACCGACCTCCCCGCAACCCGTTGCCAGCAAACTTTAGACGTCGTAACCCCGAGCAGCAATAAGAAAATTGCGAGACAGACAAAGTGGAAAAACGCATAAAGATGAAGTCGCAGCAAATGAGGTAAATGGAATAGTATAAATCTCTTGAAAGCCAAATTTTATTTCCGCAAAGGTAAGAAATTCCGAAAAAAACGTACTATAAATTATAGAAAAATATATCAATCAGACAGAATTCGGTTTAAAAATTAAGTTTTTTATATTTTATATTATATTCTTAGATAATTACTTTTTAGCATATTAATAAGAGGCGTTGAAAAATGTAATGCAATCGAGTAAATTTACTGGTATACATTTTAAAAATGATTTAAATTCTCTATGTTGAGAAACTTTTGCCAAGCACCTGAGCAGTTATCTCCAGGTCCTCATATTTAATTTATTAAAACGTGGGCACCTTTTCATTCACTGGAAAAATTTATCTGCGGCCAAAAGGACGAAACTATACATATGAATTTACGCTTGTGCTCACGTATATATGCACATAATTTTGTGCCCGAGTCAAATGAATGCGAATCTGCACTTGAATGCGAATGCGAAAAGCGAATGCCAACACGAAAATGTGCTTTGACTTGGTCTTGTTCTCTTAGTTTTCTCCTTTATCTGCGCTTCCCCGTTTTCATTTTTGTTTGTTTTTCCATTCGTTTTGTTGCTGTATCTCGTATCTTGTATCTGTAGCTGCGTCTGTGCATAATGTATCTCCGTCTTGGCGAATCGTTTGCCTCAGTTTGTTTATGCTTCGCAACTTGACTTGGGGAAAAAATGGTAAATGGGAAATGGGAAAGAGGAATGAGGAATGAGGAATGAAAAGAAAAGAAAAGTTTTTATGCCTTTGTCTGATGCTCGTCTGTTTGTTTATGCATCCCCTCGTGTCTCTGTGGCTTACCGCGTAACTTTAATAATTTAATTAAATTTTACCAGCCTACACCCGTGCCGCTGGTGTCATGCGAGAAGCCCCGCTTTGATTGTTATTTAGGCCATTTGGCATAATGAGGCGGCATAATTCACACATAAAATCCAATTTAAGCGCATTTTTAGTGGCCAACTTTGGGCTTCCTGATTGAATTAAAGGCTAACCAAACACACATTAATCAGAGTGTCAAAGAAAAGTAGAAGGCCTTCCGGAACATATTTCAAATAGCAAAGCTTCCATATAGCCAAATATTTTGTTTATCAAATAACAAAATCCCGTTTCTTCATTTCAATCATTGTGGATGACTCAGAAAAATAACATGTCATTCTACAAGAAAAAAAAAAAAAAATATTTTTATCTTTGTATAAATTTCTTTTACAAACAATGTAAAAATATCTGACTGAATTTCCGAAAAAATACTGTTGATATATAATGTTTATATTTCATTACAATTTTCCACGGTCAATGTGTTGAATTCTTGCTGTTTATTTGTTTATAAATTTATATTAACGATTCCGTTGTAAGCACCCAGAACTTAAAACACAACAGAAATATATATATACAAATATGTAATTTTAATGCGATTAGAAATATAAACTTAAAGGTATAAAATAGCTATAATCTATGAAAACCATTTGGAGGATTATGATAATGAATACAGTATGGAAACGCACACGCAATAACCTTTAAGTCGGTTACGAAAATGGGCGAATGGGACATTACAGTCGCGAGTTTCACCTGCTAGGATAACGACGTTTACCCGATTCCACCTTCGCTTTCACCCTCGCAAATCCATTTACATTTCTCTGCATGTGCAGCACCCTAGAAGGCAATTTACATCAAGTCACGCCCTTTCATTAAAGCTACTCATCAATTTGAAGTGCCAGCGGCTTCACTTATTCAACAAGCTTAAGGGATTTATTCGCCACATGTACGTTCGTATAAAAATACATGTACGTATATTTTTATTATATTTATTCGGTTGCCACTCGGCAAACAATAAATGTCAGCCGCATGCCTGGCGACTGGTGATAGTAACACATTTTGCAATGAGAGATACATTTGTATCTGGCAGATACGACAGCAAATACAGGACAAGCCCGTCTATCATCTGTGTGCGATTTTCCAAATAAACCATGCACATGAGATATCTCTGTACACAGTTTTTAGGTCATTTTTTCGTTACATTATGAAAGAGCACGAATCTATTCGTCCGCGGTCACGTTGTCATCTCTAGTTCGGATGGTGGCTTCATTATTTGTTTGTTTACTATGTTGCACTTGGCACGTACGGGAAATAAAGCAAAGGAAAATTGCATAAATGCCCAGGCAAAGTGTCCATTGTTTTGGGCCCTATCATCCAACGTACCCCTCCTGCGCCTGACCACATCTCTTATGTGATTTATGACCGCTTTTTGCTTGGCTGAAATTATATTTGAACGAACTTTTAGTCAACAGCTTATCAATAATAAGAAAAACCAGAAAAAGCCAGATGTGACTCTTGAAATTCATTTCACTTGTGAGTAGAATATTTAATTCTTACATTGTTATTTTTTGCTAAGCCTCAACAATAAACGAGATAAAAACGAAACCAAAAAGATGCAGATAAAGTTACGTAAAAAAGTAGCCATAATCTTGAGCTGAAACTGAGATACAGATACGGGTGTTTGATGTTTAAGTATCTTTATCTTAATTCCCAGCTGTATCTTGTTTCTGTACCGCAGAGCTAAGAGCAACAGCTCTGCAACAACTTTTTCATATATGTGTATATATTTTTATTTCTTTCGCTTCCGGTGCTTGTTTGTGGAAGAAAAACTTTTTTTCTGATAGCTGTTGCATATTTATTTTTATAATTTTGTGCTTTGCATCTATATGTGTTGGGTGGCCACTGACCAGACTGATAATGCCGAGACATTGACCTTTTTTCGCTGAGACCAAGAACAATTTTTCGTTTCTTGCCTTCTCTATTCAGCTCGATTCTCGGGGTTCTTGAGTCTGCTCTCCTTCTTTGTTGTCAGATTAGCCGGCCAAGTGGATAAACCAGTTTTCGTTTCTGCCACTCTGTCATCTCCTCCGTCCGATTCTTGGCCCTCTCAGTGTTGGCCCATGCTCATGTTGCTTGACTTTGGCTAATTAGCCAAGAGTGGATGTTGTTGTTTTGGCTGTGCTTGTGAGCCCTGCCCCGCCTCGAATTTCGTAATGTTGAACTTTGGAAAATCTAGCCAAGCAAACAAATTAGTTGAAGTGGCGAAAAAAGTCCCAAAGCGTGCTGAGGCATTTAAATATTTAATTTTATCTAATTTTTTTTAATTTGAATTTTAAAAATCTAGGTATAGTCAAAAGCTTTAAGATTTCTAGAATTATTAAATACGTATTGTTTATTTAGAAACACCCACGGCTATTTTGTATTTTTAGGTCAAGTTATAATTTTCTAAAATTTTTGTAGCCCTCTTTGTTCAACCTTAGCTGGCTATTTCACAATACAAATGGATGAGTATGAGTCCCCAGCGGTCTACTCAGGTTTTCATGACTCAACTTATGCTTTCTACCTTTTTCGCTCTTTCTGCTTCTCAGCTCAACAATGGATTTGCTTTGTTAATAGAAATATGTAGAATTTGAATCAGATACATACATGTAAATGAGTAGCTAACTTATGTGAAAATTGAATTCACTGGTAGATAACTCAAGTACAATGTTATTAGAGTCGGGCCAAAACCTTGGAACCTGAAAGTGAGAAAAAAAGTAAAAGGCAACAACAATGACTTGAGAAACGAAAACAAACACTCTGAATTATTAAACAAAATATTCTGTCGATTCAATTGAAGTGTTAAATTAATTATCATGAGCAAACCCATTTGTTTAATAACAAAATACACCCAAAGGAGAATACTGGGGGTGAATAGCACAGACACAATTAACAAAATTGTCTACTAAAATTATAAGAGAAGCTCCAGAACGCCACCCTTAAAATAATACCCTCCCAGAAATCCTTTTCTCGTCAATTATCCTGGCAAAGTACGTAATTATTTTTGTTGCTCGAAGGGTTCTGGGTGAAAATGTTAACTTTGTTTCCGCCTGATTGAGCATTTATTTCAATGTTATTGTCTATGGGTCATTTGCACCACCCTGGGTTGTATTTCATTTAAAGCTCTGATTGTTGTGGTTTCTTTTGTTTCCTGTGAGTCAAGTGCACAATAAAATATTGTAATACTTTTTTGCTGAAAGAATAAAAATGAAACTGAATTTATTTAAGCTTACATGAATGGCTTTTCAAGTTGAAGCACAAGGTTAGATTACTCAACTAGATTAAATAATTTGTTCAACAAGAAAAATTACGTTCAGAGACTCTAGGGATTTTAATCCAGCAGTAGTAAATTAAATGCTACATTTACCATTTTAATATTGTGTATAAATAACAATAATATTCACACAGTCATTTTTTAGTATCTGTAAGATCGTGACGATACACTCTTTTCTGTTTAACAATCAGTATGCAGTTAAGGTTTTAATTAGTTTTTAATTAGCTAAATTAGTAGTCGTTAAGGAATAATTCGTTTGTTAATTGGAAGATTTCTATTAAATTGTCTTGATACTCACCATTTACGATGATGATGAAAATGATCGATACGAATGCAATCTTGAAAGCACATTTTGATGACATTATATGCGATGGGGATCCAACGTGGATGGTGTCGATTAAACAGAATTAGCACAAATTTCTGTTTGCTTAGTTTGTTCGGAGGTCGTTGTATTGTTTAAATAATTTCCTTTTGGCAGTAGTTTGTTGCGTTTGGAGCACCTAAGTCGCGCTTCACTCTTCGCGGCTTTTTAATCAGAGCTTTGCACTTTCCATGCCATTTACAAATTTAGCACTTTTGGCATGGGCCATAAAACTTCGCAGCACTTTTTCGCACGCACGAATTATTTTCGTTATTTTTTGTGCACTTTTATCGAGCTCTTGTCACGTACACTTTTTCTTGTATTTCTGTTTTGTTTCCAATATTTTCTCGTTAAAAAAATTAAAAATAAAATTAAAAAACGAACTTTTTTATGATTTTCTTTGTTTATTCACTGGATTGTATATTTCTGAAGATTAGGGAAAAATTAATATTTATTTTTATTTTGCCAGATATTAAATAATAACAGAAGGAAGGTAAGCTTTTCTTAATTTTTTCCTTAACACTCTTTTGCATTTGATTTTTAACAAATCGAAAATAAAAACTTTATTTTTTTTTGTGTTTATTCAAGGTAAGTAAGTAAAATTTGTTATTGTTTTATATTCTTAGCGTTGTTTTCTCTTAGTCATCACTGTCTTTTTTTTATTTTATTAAAATTAGTTGTGTTGAAAATCAAAACAAAATATGAAAGCAAAAGACACACAAAATACAAACAAACTGAAAATCACAACACAGCAAAGCCAGGAACAGCTATTGGCCTCTCCCTCACTCTTCTGCAAATTCAATGAGCAAGCGCAGAGAGGAGAGTGAGAGAGCTAATGCAAAGGCGACAACAGAGAGCGAGAAAGAGAGAGGGGCAGCTGCGGCGCAAACGCAACGAAATGCATTAAATTAATTATTGTTGCTTTTGAAATTGTTGTTGCCAGAACAGAAACATGATGTCGACTTAACACACGCAATATTTTTTAAACAAACAAATTAAACATGGTTTTGATGTATTTAACACACAATTTTGTACGCTACATTGTTTTGTTGGGCTAATTTAACAATGTTTTTTGCATGTTTACTTTTTTAATGTTCCTTTCCCTTACGCTCTCTCCAACTTCTTTGTGTGTTGTTCTCTGATTGCCTCTCTCGCTCTCTCGCTCTTCCGCTTTGTGTTGCCCGTAAATTAAATGCGTTGAAATGCAGCCATTTTGTCTCCGCAATTGGCACTCACTTGAATTTCCGTCGATTTTTCTGTTTAGCCGCAACTCTCAATTGGCCAAAAACGGGGGCAATTTATTAGATTAGCGCACATTTCATAAGCCTGGCTTGGCGATTTATTTATTTATGCTTGCTCACCGCTGCACACCCACACACACGCACGCACACAAGCGCAGCGAACACGCGTCCAGCGATTTTCCGACTTTCCGACTCCCACGGCGTTCCGAGATCCGTTTCAAAGATGCGCGTCCAAGTCGTTCGATGGTTTTTTTTCGACTGTGAGTGCCCAGAGTGGCCAGAGCTTAGATTCGGAAATATAGTATTTAGTATATGGCGAAACTCCGAAGCCAACATCCATTGCGCGGGTGGTTAAGAACTTAGGTGGTTGAGAACTTGGACTGCCTAACAGAAGACTTATCGATATTTTCAATTGATCGATGAGACTACCGAATTCCCAACCGCTATGTTAAAATACAACTTTGTCTGTACATAACATAAATTGTTTTCTTAACAGTAATGTTAGTGGTTTCGCTAGATGCCAGCTCGATGTTATTGGCCTCAAATTTTTCGTCAATCACGGTGCACGTCTATCTGCGGTAGGTGTCCTCACTAACTGAGGAGGGAGTATTCACAGTGCTGCTAGTTAAGCTTATTTCAGGCTAGATTTAGCATCAGTGAAAGTGGACAAGATTTTAAACAGGTAACCTAGCATATTATGAAGCCCATATAGTACAAACACTTAAATAAGTTTATATACCTTTGCATTTAACCAAAAATTATTATTATAGCATTTTATATTCTTTATAACCACTATTTTCATAAATTTGTTGCCGATGTTAAACAACAGACAGACTATGATGATTTGCCAACTAATTATTTGATCGTAAAAGAAACATAATCAACATAATACCATTAACTCTATGTCAGAGTTTGTTCAAATCAATTGAAACAATAATTTCAAAAGGACCGCCAAAATTTATGTTATGCCGCATCCCTGGTCGATAATATAATTTGCCCGTTCAAACAGCGTTGCCAGGCCTGCAACTTTTTGAGCGCGTAATAGAAGTTCAAGCTCGTTTTGATAAAACTAAAATGATGTCACTTATGTTTTTGTTAGCCACTGAATCACATACCTCCATAAATCTTGATGCCCTCCAGTCAAGCTCTATGAACAACACGGGAACAGTTAACAGTGCGAAAGAACTGCAGTGACATGTTTTAGTGTGACCATTGTAGCATTTTAAAATATTCAGCTGAGTACTCATTCAAGTTCTACACCAGTCGATTTTACGATACGGTATCGATACTGGAGATATCGAAGTTGGCATCGATGTCTCCCCACCTCTAGTTGTTGCGGGTGGACGTGCATTTTTTCTGTTACCGTTACTCCGCGTATCCGTGTGTCTGTCCGAGTTCCCCGTCCGTGTGCGTGTGTGGGTGTAGGTGCGAGTGCAAGAATGTGTGTGTGGCTTTAGTTGCGTGTCGTCGCCGCTTTCATGTAAAAATTGGAATGTGCAAAAGGTAAAACGAAAACAACGCCAAAAACGGTGGCAACAACAGTGAATGATAAACAGACGCGAAACGCCAACAACAGTAAAACGCGAGCAAACAAAAGTTGTGAAATATTTTGGTTTTATTTTTTTTTGGCCTGGTCTGGTGGCAAGTGGCAAAAGCGATAAAAAAAAGCACTTCTCAATACAAAAAACAGGTTTACTGAGCGAGCAATAGAGTGGTGTGGAGGGGGGAGAGGATTTACTGCAAGTGCGAATTTAGAATCTCATTTGCTGCCGCACAGTGGTCACTTTTGAACTTGCCCCACTGTGCGCCCAGAACTTGTTTTCCTCTTAACGCTCCTCCTACCCCTCCACCTCCCTTCTCTTTTTACCCCTTTCATTGGCTGTTTTAGAATGCATATATTGTTTATGGGCATCTCACATGCAGCGCCCCGAAATCAATAGGAAAAACTGTTCTCCCCGAAAGAGCCGTTGCTTTTCGGGAAAATCCCCGCTTCATTTCCATTCCCTGCCAGCAATCAGCTGGCTCTGCAGTCAACGCAGCTCTGCCGCCGTCGGCAGAGGAGGGGCAGCAGAGGGCGCCTAGCAACAGCGGTTAATCAGGGACGGTTCACGGTTGGGCGCCCAAAATCTTGCACAACAACTTGTTATATAAGGAAAAAGCCATTTGACACGCCAAAGTTTTTGTTCCACTTGTACTTGCAACAAATAGCAAGCAAATGGCACGGCTTTATCAAGTAAGATTCCAACTCCTTTTTAAGTATTTTTTTGTTTGTCCGATTCTATATTTCTCCCTTTACGTAGTAAATTATAGAAGGATCGTTCCTATAGGTATCACCTAGATTGGATTGTTTGTTTTTGACAAAGCTTCTTAACAATTTCGAATCAACTTCTTCTGTTCGGATTACCAAACAAAAAAAAAGGGACTAAGAAAACGGTTGAGCAACATTTTTAAGACAAGGACATTTCTATATTAACTCGCCTTTTTGATAGTGATTAAGAATTTAAAAAATCTATGAAAGGGCTTAAACAGTTTTCAATATTTTACTATATTTTCGGATTTAAGCTAGAAAAGTCTATTATATATAACCTCTAGAAGAAATTAAGGCATATTTCATTGGAAAGATAGTATTCGGTTGGTCCAATTTTGTCCTTTTGAGACAGGAAAACGTATGGGTTAGAATTAAAATCATAGTAACAGTACCATCACAAAGAATTCCGTGGTAAATATTAGATTTTTTGGACCCTTCCCCCCAATGTCTTAGTGATTCCGGCCCTTTTCTTTTACTGCCGTCAGCTGTGCGACCAGTGCGCAGGCGGCACACACGCATAGCACACAACAACAGTATCAGCAGCCACAGGCAGCAGCAGGATGAAGACCAGCCTGCCAAGTTAACTGCCTGACTTTGGCCAGCGAAATTGCATTGCTGGCGTCTCGCTCGCACGCACTTACTTCGGCAGTAATGCCGGAAAATGGGGGAAAATGGGAAAAGCGATGTGTGGGCCTCGTGCGCCGCTCGAGGTTCGCTTTTCGCAGTTTGCAAGTCGGCAGTCAGCAGTCGGCAGTCGGCTTTACATAAGTTGACGTCCGTGGCAGACGGCCTGCTCCTGGAATAATTCAGTGCCCGGCTGCAGGTCCTTTGCTCAGGTTGTGTGGACGCGCTTTCAGTTTTTCCGGGTATCAGCTGCTGGCGCTTTTGCAACTGGTTCGGATTTTCCTTCTTTTTTTTTCCTATCCTGATTTTTAAAGTTTTTTTTTTGTTTTTTAGTTTTTTAAATTGGTTCTGCCTGCAAACCGGCTGGTTGGCCAAAAGGTTTGTCGACAGTTGGTGTTTTTTCAGCTGTTCGGCTTGTTGGACACCAAAAAAAAAAAAAAAAAGTGGTTAGACCTCTTTTTTATTACACTTTAATTTCGATTTTTTGCCATTATTTATCTCATTTCTCAACTATTGCTATTTGCCGCCTGCGTGGGCCACTTTCAAAAGCTTTTGTGGGGCTTCCGTCGATTAATTTTGGCGTTATTTTTTTCTTCCTATTTTTGTGGCTTTATTTATTTATTTATTTCGTTTTCGTCGTATCATAAAGCCAAAAAACTTGATTTGTGCGCACGGCCAGCCGTAAATCAATTTAACAATATCAATTCGGTCGTAAAACCGTTTGAAAAAAGCACGTCTAAACGAATTTATCCATATATATATATATACGAAAACCATGCAGCCGAAGTGTTAATATTAATCGAGAAACTACAACAAAGCCGAAAGAAAACAACATGTAAGGCGACTTAAAAAGCTAGCTTTGCCACTCGAAAAGATGGCCGCCAGGATGTGCAGCGTCGTTTCCAGCGTCATCATCATCTAGTTGCAGCAGCACTCACAGATACCCACAAATACAAATACAGATACAGCTTCAGCCACAGCTACAGACACAGATACACACGCACACCAATGCCGCTGGCAGCCAGACACTCGCACACCAATGCCAGTCCCTCTTAAAGGTGAGTCGCACTTAAAGTTTTACATTTTAAATACTCTGCAGTCGTAAAATTGGGTGAACCGAAAGTCCCTCGAATTTCAGGAGCAGATTGTTAAAACTTTGACCTCACTGGGTTTTATTTTATGCAATTATCCAGTTGAAATCGCAGTGCAACTAAATATATTCCCATATCATACCTCAATTTTAATTTATACTGTAAATTTTACCTGTAGAGATAGGACTTTAGTCCCTGAAAACCATTGTGCATAATCCTAGTAATTGAAAATGAGACGCTATAAAGCATTCAACTCAAGTTTATACTGAGTTATTTCTATAAGCTAGCAGAAAAAATGATGACAATGTAATTATTATTATTAAAAGGTAACCAAAATGGAAGCCGTACGTCATCGACAATAATGGTTTCTGCTTATCTCTCGTAAAAAAACCCTTTTGCAAGGTAATAAAACGTTAACACATCAGACCGGCATTGTCCAGGGAAATTATTTGAATTTCTTTTTCATTAAACAGTAGTGGACATTGATAAAACAGCGAGATAAGATTGCATATCACATTTATGGATTTTTAACGGGTTTTACCTAGTTATTTATATACAATATACTTTATATTTTAAGTAAGGTGATTTAAGGATTTCAAGCGAAAAATGTATTCTAATGGAATCGTTAAGTTTTTATCTTTCAAAGAGTTTTTGCACAAAAAAAAGCTCCCATGATAATGTGTTATTTGTTTGCCATCAATCCGATTATGAGCCATTTCTTTGCCCTTTCCTGCTCCTTTTTAAGATAATCTTCAATAAATATATGTGCGGGCAAATGTATTTTGAAACCTTCGTCTATCAAGCCTTGTGAAATGTCCAATCAAGACGAGAATCGCATGATGAATGACCTCAGCATTCCCATCAATCTTACACAATTGTCCCCCCTCGTCTGCCAGCGAATTTTTGCTTGGATTTCTTTGATATTTGGCGACTATCCGTTGTCTTTCGTGAGTTGATTTTTTGAGCTTGCGTGCTTAGAGCATCTCAAAGTCTAACATTTCTCATTCGGTTTTGGTTGGCAAATAAAGCAAAAAAAAAAAACCCCAAGCGCGAATTTTTATTACCGCTTGGAGTTGAGTCCGAATTGGAATCGGATTTGAACCCGGGGACGAAGCTGGGATCTCTGGCTAGTGGAGAGTTCAAACCGAGTAGAGGGTTCTGTCTTTTTTTCTTTTTTTTTATTATTATATAGTTCTTTTTTTGCTTTTTTTGTTTGGTTTTGGTCGCGAGCCCATTGAAAAAAGCTCGTCAAACCAGTCGCCGTTTGTATGTTTTGTTTTTGCTTTTTGCTGGCTGTCTTTCCTAGGCCTGGGCAGCAAACTGGCCCCCGTTGATGACTTTTTACATAGACGTTGGCCCGAAGAGATACCGACTGAGATACGAGAGCCAGTCAGCCAGTCAGCCAGCCAGACTCAACTAACAGACAAAACACACGTATCTAAACTTGTTTGAAACGTGTTACATTTTAAGAACGCTCGCCGCAAGCGGCAAGTGGCAATAATCCTTTCAAACTTGACAGTGCTGCCATGTTCGAAAACGCGAAGGGCCTGCCCCAGTGGGAGTGGCATGGATTCTCGCTTTTCTTTTTTTCTCTTTTTTTTTCTTCTATTTATTTTTTTGTTTTGTTTTTTAGAATAGCATGTGTATCGATGTATCTATGTAACCGGATCTCTATATGCTGGCTGTCAGTCTTTTTGGCTCTATGCAGACATTTTGGCTGCCTTTGTTGTTATCATAATGTTATTTGTGCACAACACATGGGTTTTTGCTCCTTTTTACCCAAATCCCACACAAAATGGTCATAAAGAACGGACGGAGCAAAAAGTGAAATTGATATTTTCGCACAAATTGCCGTTAACAAGGATTGGTGGATATGTGGGTGGGTGGTCGGAACCTAGGCAACGTAAAAAATTTGCCTGTCAAAAATTGGTTGAAAATATGCAGCGCAAAAATGAAGTGAAATGAAATAAAATAAAAACGGTTAGGTGCAAACGGGAAATTGTTTACCGTGGTTCCAAAATGATGTAATTTCGCGTGTTCGTGCAATTCAATTTCCTGCCAGCGGAAGCCCGTGTCGCTCTGTTCACCCATTGAAGTCAAACATTCATTCCCGACCCAATCATCAGCCTCCCGTTTTTCCAGTAGCAACACCCCCAAAACACCAAGTTTTAAATATTGTCCAAAAATTGTTTGCCAATTCCAGTCTCTCTTATGTTTTTTTTTATTTTTTCTCCCCAAACTTTAATTGTCCCCCGACCAAAGTTTCGTTGAGCATACAGTGCCAGAAAAATGGGAAGATATTTTTTATATGTGTATATGTATGTTCTCGGCTACAACAGCAGGCATTTTGTAAAATTCAATTTAGCTGACTTTGCTATCTTAACAACTCATGGTGGTCCACCCCATCCAAAAAGTCGATAAAATTTAGCTTATATCTTGTAGAGATGAGTATTTTTATACTTCGATTACTAAATGACTCTGATGACTATAAAGATTTAAATTATGTAAATGAGATATTTTAAGTGCCAATCAATTCCATTAGTGTCTAACAATGTGTGAATTAATACTCACAATAAAAAATTTAGGTGAATATACATCTTTCAACTAAATTTGAATAGATAACGTGAACAAATTTATTGAAATAATTAAGAAAACTTATTAAGTGAAATTTAAAAACCATTTACCAATGTATTTTTATGTCATGGGATTTCAGAAATTTATAGTATAGTTATTTTTAGACATTTTTAATTTGTTTAAAAGACTTGAAACAAATTAGATCTTTAAGATCTTTATATTTGTTTTCGGTAATCTATAATTCTTGTAAAGGTTTTAATTAAATACAAAACTTCTCAATATCTTGCAAAAGTGTGTAAAAGTTTGCCATTTGTTTGGCTATAGAATTTTCCAAAAATATTTGCCATATTTCGCATAAATAAATTAAATTGAATAGACGAACCCCGGCCAGCGACTGCCTCTCTTGCCGGCTGGCTTTCGTTTTGGCCGGTCCTGGCGGGCATTGCCTATATTAACAATAATTCCTTTGTGCCCGGGCATCTTGCCAAAAAGTTTGGCGACCGCCTGCTCCTGGCACAGCAGGCGACGAACGTTTTGTGGCCAATTTCCCGTACCCAAAGGCCGACTTTTTGTGTGACCCATTGTCAAGTCAAGTCAAGCCGGACAAGGCCTACTCCTCCCTTCTTTTCGGTTCTCCCGTCCAGCAATGACGTTTTGTCTAGAGTTAAATCCAAAAGTTTGTTTGCATGAAAAAGCCAGTACCAAAGCGACGAACAGGGTGAGCGAACTGCAAACTTTGGATACCATGCAAACCAGTAAGACTGCTGCAAGACCATTGATTGAACCTGGTCATGCGGTTACTTTGGACTTTTCAAGTTGCACAATCTCTGACCTTGTCCCTGGGCGATAGAAAAAATTGAGGAAATGTATTTGAAATGTTTCGAATATGGAGTTATTTGCGATTTTTTTTTAAGTAGAGTTAGTTAATTAAGGCACAGTCATATTTTATATAACCTTAACAAAGCTATTAGGTTATATGAAATATAATTTCAGCCATCACATTAATGGAAACATGTCCGACATAAAAACTTTATATTGGTGAAGTTTATTATCAGTTTTCTGCATTTAATACTCTAATAAATTGTATATTATTTATTTCATACTTACGCTAGTCACAGATTAACTTCCAAACAAAAAATAAAAGATTTTTTAACTATGGAAGTCTTAAATACAAAGACAAACTATTTTCCGTGCTAGTTTAAATACCTTACAATAATAATAAATAATTTCGACTTGTAGAAAAGTCGACTTCAACTAGGCTGACCCCGCATCAAAATAAAACACAAGACCAATTAGACTAAGGAAATTTTTGTTGGTTGCTGTTGTAGATGTAGTAGTACCCCCCGTTGAATCTCAGAGTGACCAGTTCGTAGTGCGCAGTGCCAGTCACCGGACTGGCGGCCACCCGCACCGCCGGTGACGCGGTGAAGCTGAGCGTTCGGTAGAAGAAGGCGGTGAGGAAACTGGCACTGATCACGAAGGCCACAAAGAAGCCCAGACAGAAGACACAGTCCTTGTTGACCTGCAGGCACAGGCAAAAGGCGCCGGCAAAATCACAAATTGATCGACCAATTCTCGCGCAGAAAGTCTGCCGAAGCTGGGGACGATTCGGCGGCATATTGTTGCCACTGATGGTGATGGTGTGATGGGATCGTTCGCAGGGCGCACAATTCGGATCGGTTCTCAGGTTGGTCAAATCCAAACGGTAACGCCTGGGTGCTGGTAGCACCTCAGCGGTCTGGGTGCCCAGTTCGTAGTATTGCGGGACTTGTAAAATTACCGCTGGGCGGGCATCCTCCGTTAAACGCGCCTCAATGACGTCCAAGTTGCGGGCGAATCGATGAAGTAGTTCCAGTACATTATGCATTCGGTTAGGAACCTCCACATTTCTTATGGACAAAGACTTTAGTTCTTCTAATTTCCGCCTTTCTTTTGACTGGGCACTTGTGCTGGGATCATTATCTCGCCTGTCCACCATTTCATCCCCTTGATTCGATCCCAACTCCTGGTTGTGATTTCCAGAATCCTCCGTCTCAGTGGCGCCTAAATTTGCATCCGGCAGATACACAACATGGGCAAGATCAACGACGGGTGGCATGTTTATTATCACTTGATCCTGAGAATCCGACGTTGAAAGGCTTTCATCTTCATTGTCTTTCTCATTTCGTTTATTCATGAATTTTTTTTTGGTTTTTGTGGGCTTTAAACTGGGAATTTTTGATCTGCTAATACCAAATTTGTAGGTTGAATTTATGTCCGCCACTGTGATAGTTGTCAACATCGTTTGGTGTTACCCAAAATAATGTTGGCTTTAGTTGCTTGTAAAACACTTTTCGAACATTTTCCAAATTTGACCTGTGGACGCTATAAACTTAATGGCGTGCAGGGAGCCACCTCAAACTGCGATCGTCATTAACTTGTTGATTGGCGATTTGGTTCAGGATGCCGTTAACGAGCCGCTTAAACTTTCCGAGCAGAAGAACACTTGCCAGCGGCTCTTCGACATTTTGGGCTTTCAGGCTGACGAGTGTTTCGAGGACGCGGAAGGCAGTGATGTGGCTACTACACCCAATTCGAGTACCCTTCCGACCAATTTAAAATCGCATTCAGTCGAACCCAAGCAAAGAAATTGGTACGGTTGGATTTCAAAAGCATTGGCAGAAGGTAAGACAGAAAAGCTGCAAAAAAAGGAAGTCTAAATACAATAAAGTCTAATTTCTTTGGGTTTAAAGCAAAAATCAATTTGAAAGCATATTTTTTCCATACTTATAAAGGTGATACCGCTATATATAATTAAAGTTGATTGTTTAAAATTTTAAATTGACTAAAATAAAAAAATCGTTTTTTAATGCAAAGTAATTTGGTATACAAAAGAAAATATATTATTTTCTTTAGCTGAATTTACCATCAAATAAAAATAGTTTAAAATAAAACAAATAAACCTTATAAAAAACTAGATTTTGCTTTCAACTGTAGCTGTTATTTTACTTTACAATATAACTCCGATTAAAGTAATAACCCGCAGACAATTCCGAGGACGATGTTGAGATATTCAGGAAGGACGAAGGGGGTGCGCTTAAAACTTTCGACTCGATTGCGGTGCAGACGGAGCAGCCGCGACTGCGGATGAGATCGTGTCCTGGGGAACGCCTGCCAAACCTTGCCCCCTGCGAGCTGACTCGCCAAACCATCTTCATCGATGCCGTTTCCATGCCCATGCCGAATATTTTGGGTCGGGCGCCATTGGCTGATCGCTTTTGCTATATGTTGACCGATTTCGCATCGGCGCTATATTGTAGTCTCGCCATCATGTGTTGTTGCACCCCCAATGTGTTGAGATAAATTAAAGTGCAAGGCGTTTGCTGAATCGCCACTGGTTTTTCATTTAAACAAGATCAAAACGAAACTCCGCTTGTCACAACTGTCTGGGCTGAGACCCTTTTACCGAATCGCGCTTAAATTCTGTCTGCTGATTGACATTGGTCTGCAAGAAGCTGTAATAGTGGCAGATCAACAGGAAAAGGCACCACAGGCACAGGACAATGAACAGGAAATAGATGAAATTCTCGAAGATCAGGGATGCGCAGGCGGCAATCGCATCGCCCGTCTGCACCAGGACATGCCACATCCTTTGGCCCAGCGGCGCCCTTTGCATATCCGTGGCCGATGTCACCGACTCCACCTCGATGTGGATCGTGTGCTGCAGCACCTTGCTCGGCTTCTCCCCCTCCGCACCAGCACTTTCTCCTCCCACGGCCGCCAGTTTGGCCTCCAAATTTTTGGAGTCCTTCCGCTTTTGATCCACCGCACTCCAGGATGTCTGGCTGCTCACCTCACAGGTGGGCTTGATTGTGGAGTCCGACAACTGCGTGGCACTCGATGCTTTGAGCTCCTCATTTTCATCCTCTGTGAAGAGCAAATCAAAGGAAAGGTGGTTGTAGTTTCCTACTTTCAATACAATTCAATCATTTTTGCATTAATAAATGGCAATTGTCAGTCAAACAAAACCTACATTACCCTAAATAAATATTTATTTTCTAAAATTGTTGGCAAAAACTTGAAGCTTATAAAATATTAATAAACTTCGCGGATTCCATTTACAAAATCCAAAATTATTATTCTTATTGTTAATATTTTAGGCCTATGCTTTGTAAATTTAGTTAAATTATTTCTTAACTTTTTAAAGGAAAAACAAAGTTATAGTAATATGTATACATTACCTTCCTTCAAGGCAAGCTGTTCGGAAAGGACTCGTTTTAGCCGAAATGAACCGCCAGCATGATGATCATGCTCACTGTCCAGGATTTTGGAGTAATCTTCGAACAAATTGAGTAGCTCGACAAAGCGATTGGTGATCTGCCTGTGACTGAGATGGATTTCGGTCAGATAGCCCGGTATTTCGTTATTCCTTAGCTGATCATCACTGTTCCTGATGTTCCAGCCAATGGGTGGTGGTGCTCCGGTTTTATTCCCAAAACCATTTTCCGCCTGCACAATTACGGTAGAGCTATCATCTCCAGTAGGGTCACTCTTTGGACTCAGCATGGGGAATGTGGGTGTCTATTCGGTCCTTGCCGCTTTGATTTTGTGTGTGTGTGTTGGTTTTATGTGAAAATCATGAGTATTTTTGGGTATAAAGTGAATTACATTTATTTTCCACCATTCGTGTCATTTGAAAACGGTCTACCTGAATTTTAAGCAAAGGGTTGCTTTATCTGCTTCAAACGACCCTGCCAGCCCTGCAGTTGAGCCTCCGTTGGCCAGTGAATACTGTTTGCGCTAAATTAAGCAATTTCCTATCCTGTCTGGCCAGCAAATCCAGATGCTTCTGTCCATCGACACTTCAGGGTCGGCTCTCGTCTATGGATTTTCCCTGTCGAAAATGACAATTATGACGGTCTACTGCACTAATGTTATTTCGCATAAGTGCATTTTGAGAACCAAATCAAGCTAGATGGTTTTGCCATTTTCCAGGTGAAAATCGTTAAAGATTTTTGCATGTTTCATTGTCAGAAACTCACTCACACAAGAAATTAAGTATACAAAAATAACATAAAATTATTAAAGAATGTGATTTATTTCAAATTGTTTCCAAATTTAATTTAAATAAATGTTAGAAGTATACCTCCACAAAAATGTATTATTTCTCTTCCATACTATAAAAGAAAAGTTTAAATAGTTTTCCGTTTGCAGCAAAAATGCAGATCCAATATCTACTTTAATGTGCAAGCACAATAAATTAATGAAAATAAAAACTTTTGCTCCTTCTCCACCCAAAAACTGTGATTTTATTTTATGAGTTTTTTTTTCCATTTTCGCTTTAGAGCCAAAAATTCATCCCCCAGATTTAAGCCACAATTTCCGTTCAATGGCAAAAAGCTGTCTCCGTATATTTCATAATTTGTTCGGAGGAAACTTTTCGATGAAACTCTATTAAAGCGAGGGACATAATAAATTCATGGAATATCTCGAGTTGGCTGTGAAGGCAGTCTGGCAGTATGGTATGTGGACAGTACGCACATTGGCAGCGGGTGGAAAAAGCGGTGGAACTTTTCTGTGGTAAGTCCTTTGGCGTCCAGTGCGCACCTGCTACTCGGTGGTCCTGCTTTTTTTCGAGGGTGGGATGCATCTTTTGCTACGGCCATTGTTATCATTTAAAAGGCTTAAGTGCGCCGAAGATTTATATATTTATATTTGAAAGGGAAGGAATGAGAGCAGCAACAGCATTGGCAGTACATAGCATTGCCTGCGACAAGAAAATAAGATAAACGTACACTTTATTGATTTTCCACTCGCATGTGCCGGCCAGAATGTGTGTTTGCTGCTTTGGATGCTGCTGCTGCTTCTGCTGCTGCTGTTGCCATGGACTGCTGCATCTCGTTTGCCCTTTGTGGCGCAGTTTTGTCGCCTGTCCAAAAAATGGGAAGTCGAGACGGAGCGGTGCGGTGCGGGGGGTTGTATAGAGTCGGCTTAAATGGGCAGCCAACGCCTGCGCTTGATTCATCTGCCAGTTGATTGGTGTTTGTGCGAAAGTGTTGAAGCAGAACAACTGGGATTGAGTGGCCGCCATCCGCCACCCGTCATCCTTTATCCTCAAGTCCTCCCCCGCCCCAACCCCCAACCCCCTTGGGCTGACTGTTAAGCTTTATTTGTGTTGCCTACTTTGAGGCTGCGTCGAGGGGTGCACAAATCGATCGTGCTGTTGCTACCATATATTGGATTTACACAAAGCCCATTTTGGAAATGCATTTCATGGAAATCCGTTCGATTTATAAAGGTTCAACTTAATCTCACTTCATTTCAATTACTTTATGAAAAACACCCGGTACAAAGTCCTCAAAAATAAAACGAGGAAAAAAGATTTAATTGTAAAAGATATATTAAAATTTACACGGGAGTAATTTTCATTGATTTTTTTTGTTCTGCGTTAAAATACAACTTTAAAGCTTACAAGAGGAGGTTTTAAAAATTGAACTATTCCAGATAAAATGTTAATTTAATGCTAATGATGACAATCATAAAAAAAGATATTTCTTCATTTGTTTAGTAAAACAAATTGTATCTTAGATTTATTTTTTTTAAATGTAATCTTATTAATCATAAAATTTGGAACTATAATGTCACAGTTTTAAAAATGGAATTCAGCTTTTTATGTAGCACTTAAATTTGTAAATTCAAATATTTATTATAAGTGTTTAATTTTTAAATACATTGAGGTCAAAATATTATTTCAAAATACCCTTTTTTGTCCTAGACATTCCGTAAACTGCTTTTAAATCCTTTAACATAAAACGTATTTATAACGCCACTAATTATTCTCTTTAAAACGATCATTAATTAAATATGCACCCTTTGTCTTCCTGTCTCGTATCCTTTGGTTTTTTGGCAACCTTCCTGATTGCGCTGTCTAAAATTGTGTCGGCTTCTCTTTGGATTTATGAGGTGTTGCTGATTATCCTTGGTGCCGCAAGATAAATATATATTATATTATTATATATAGCCCAAATGGTGCAACTAGGCAAATATAGTAGGCGACTAACCGTTGCCAAAAGTTCTAGACCGCGCTTCGGGCTTGGCCAGCTCGTAAATAATATTTGTTTAGAGATATTTTTGCCTTAATGCTTGTTTGTTTCCTATTACTCTTGGCCGGCTCGTTTATCATCTTGGCCAGAGTTTGCAATCTCGGATGCTGCAGGAGCAAAAGGACTGGCGACTGGCGCAGCATGCATTCAATTAGCGCTTGGCATGAATTGGATTTTCATCGTGCCCTATTATCAAAGAGCTCATAATTTCTCAACTCGTTTGCTGGAATGTTGTTCCAGATTAGCAAGATAACTAAATTTAATTTTGAGCCTAGGGTTAGTTAATGCATTTAGTTTTTGGAGATTTTGTGACTTAAGATTTTATTTAATTTATTTAATATGGGTGTGACAATTTTAAAGTCAATAAAAAACAGTCGAATTAAATTTAAAATTTTAATAAATAAAGTAAATATATAAACTAACTGATACATAATTCTAACAAATCAATGACAAGATTTGCCTTTTAAAAAGTATATTCCTAGTCACTATCTAAACTCTAATCTCTAATGAACACTATGGTGTTGTAGAAGGTCCATTCTGTTGTACAAACAAAATAGAAGTTGATGTCATACTCACTTACACCTGCCAGAGTCTTCAAAGCGTTGTCAAAGCGCTTGCCACTTCTGTCGATGGCAGGAGGTAAGTGAAATTTCCGGGTGAATCCCCAACCAGGAGCAAACCCCCCCCAAGTTCCTCGTCCTTGTGGCAATCAGTAGCTGACTATTTTCTCACCTGGCCACTTGGCGCTTAGACATGGCCCGCTGCTGGTTAGTTGGCATTTAATGGCATTTGACACTCTTCACAGTGTCTGCCAGCAAAAACATCAGAAGCAAATACAAAATAGAAAGAAAAAAAAAACGACTTAGAACGTTATATTGCGGAGTTGGCCGACCGTAAAATACCCGGCACTTGGTTCGTTAAATAAGTGCCTAGAGCGAATATTCTACAGACAAACCAAAATTTACCATTAGCGAGCTTAAATTTGATTGTTGGTCAGAAATAACTTAACTTAACTTTTCTTACTTTGCAGGGGAATTTAAAGAAACAATCCTGTAAAAATTCAAGGTATTTATATGAAATAATTTAAAGGGTCAGAAAAGCTTTATCCTGTTAAATAAATTTTCCGAAGTGCAATATACCCGTGAGAGTACCGCGTAAAAAAATAGGATAAAGTAAAATAGACGTAATGGAAATATTGCTAAGAAAATCAATAGAAAACGATAAAGAAGATAGAGGAAGAGGCACCGGGCTGCATGGAGCCGGTCGAGCACTTGCCTAATGAAGTTGTCCTTAAATCGGGGAAAGGCATCGCAGAAGGGACACCGAAGGCGAGATGGGAAAAGGAAGCGAGTGCCTGGGTCCCAGACAGCAGCAATAACAACATCAATGCACTTAATGCTCTTGTTTGCTTAACTTTATTTGATGTCCTGGCCTTGGTTATTTTGCCCCATACTCTGCGTACTCATATACTTGTATGTATGAGAAAGAGCCACGCAATTTGCCATGCTTTTTGTCTCTGCCATATGTACGAAGTCGGGAAATGTAATTTGAAGACAGTAGAAAACTCCGATTAGAGGCCACTGATTTGTGATTGCTGATTTTATCTGCGGAATGCTGGGCTTCTCATGGCTACACTTTCCAATCAGAGTTATCTTAATCTAATGTATGCAACAAAGGCATTTTCGAATAAATTCTTACCCTGGTATCCTGAATAAAGAAGTGCACTTTATATGATGAGAAGCCCCAAAGCAAAATTCGACAGAATAACAATTTTTAAAGAGCTTGCAAAGAGTATTTAATAATTCAGCATGTCTTACACATTCTAACTTTCGCTGCTATTTTCCTCGCTGGGCTTGTTTTTGTTTTCCGAGCCAGCGATGACTATGTTGTTTACAAATGAACGCAGCTTACGCAGCACGAACAGCAGGACAAGGACTCCTGTCACATGCTGACCAGGGGTATTAAAAAAAACAAGAAGGAAAAAAGGAGGAGGAAGGAGGGATTAAATAAAAACAGGACATCAACTTGCTGGTCTCGAGTGTAATGCATTTAGCGTTGGGTAAAGAAAATATTCGCCATCCGATATGGCATTTTCCATAGTCGTCCTGGACCGTCATGCCTCCTTGTACCGAATACTTGGCTTATTTTGCGGTCAAATTAATGCAGCTGCAGGAGGCAGGGCAGCCAGGAGCTCGTCTGGAACTTGTTCACGGTGCATGTATTTTTAATTAATTGCAAGCCTTCCTCCTCCTCCTCCTCCTGCTCGCTCGAGTAGCAGGAGTTGAGTTTGCCCACCCGGCCATCGCATGCCATGTCCTCCCATGTGGTCAGGACCGCCTCTCGTCCTTCGCTCATGTCCGCTCGTGTCCATGTATGCCATGTTTTCTCCTCCTGTTTCTTGCCACCGCCAATGAGTGTCTGTGTGCGGGCACTCCTGATACATTAATAGGTTTATTTCAACTTTTTTTTTTCGAATATCCTGCATTGGCATGGCTGCCAGAGACGTCGATACAAATTATGGAAGACAGCACTTAATTATTACGTATAACTTAAGTAATTGATTTAAATTCGTCTGCTATTAAATCAGACATAGCTAGCTAAAAGTGACTTTTGAGTGGTTCATATATTTATACTCATATGTATTTCAAGTTGTATCAGTGAAAATATATATTTTCAAAATGCATTTCAAAAGTAAAGTTTTCATTTATTTAAATATAAAATGTTTTTACCAAGTGTGTCGTAAATGTGCTTGCAATAGCACCCAATCTTTATAAACTTACTCAAAAGAGTCCATTAATGCCAAAAACTGAGTTTGGTTTTCTTTTATACTAGGCGGAAGTGAGTCTTGAAAATAAACTACTGACAGTATTAAATTAGTATTAAATCATTACTTAATAATTATAACCCCTATATTTCTTAGCTTCATTTTTATACCGAAGAGTCTTAAACTTTTATATTGATACTTAATTTAACACTCATTTTATTATGAAATTTTTCATACCCAATAGTTTAGAGTTCATGTTACAATAGTTTAGTTTCTATGACAATTTTTATTGAATGTATGCACTAAAACTAAGAGAACAGAAAACCCTTAAAGAGCATTTTATATGCGCATTGGAAAAAAGGAATTTACACTTGTTGTTATCATCATTTGGCCCGATATGACCGCAAGTCAACGCCACCACCTCCTTTACCAGCAGCGCTACATCATTTGCGGTTAATTGTAATTAAAGTTCAGTGGTATGCTCCAGCGCACACATGTCGGCCCCTTCTGTCGGCAAAACTTTTCTGGGTGGCCACCACCATTACCAGTACCAGCACCATCACCGCCACCAGCACCAGCACCACCATCACCACATACCAATGTCCAATGGACATCCTGTGCAAGCTAAGCATTCCGTGTTCATGATGTCACAAGTAAAGCAAAAATTTTGAAACAATTCGATACGCAACACACATTGTTGTTATTTTGGCAAACCAAATTCCTGTGACGACAATTTGAAAGGATTACTAATCGCCCCCAAACCCCAGAAAAACAATGCCGGAAACGAAAACAAAGACGCTTTGCAGCCCCAGCAATGGTCTTGAACGAGCGGATGAGGCTGACGTCATTGCCGCCGCCAATCGTCTGGTCACTCGCACCCCCGTACAGCAACACCCACACCCCCAACCACGCCCACACCCACGTTCCCATCGCCAAGGTCGTCGAGATGCCGCCGGCTTTACGGCCAACCAGGAGGTGCGGCTGAAGGCCGGCGACATGCGTATGGCCCGGATGCAGATCAGTCTCTCCCAGTTGCGCACCGAAATGGAGGAGTCGAGCAAACAGCTCAGGGACCTCTGCTCGGCGATGCGACTCGATGTGAATGCTGACTAAAATCTTCTGGACAAGTCCTGAAAAACACATTCTCATTTGTAAAGTCCTGCTATTAATGTTCAATCTTATTCAGCAATTAAGTTAACTTGCAGCCAAATTTAAAAGTATATGAATGCATTTTTGTGATCAACAAATGTACTAATATTACAAGTATTCTATTGAAAATGTACTTAAGAAAACATACATATATTTGTATTGTAGGAGAAAATAGTTGGTATGCTAAATTCTAAAAATCTTGCAAATTAAGCCATTTTAAAAAAATTGGTCATTACCTGTCACTATCAGATTATTTTATTAAATATAGTTATAATTTATTAAATTAACATCTCCAAAATACATTGATAAGCTATGGGTGTTTTATATATATACAGGCCATAGCATTGCTTTACGGTATATTATTTGTCTCAAATGGGATGTATTCCCTTCTATAAACTAAAGTTTACAAAATACGGACCTTATTATTGATATTAAACTTTGACATGGATTTTTCTTGAATGAATGAAGGCAACCATATATACTAAAATAATATCATTCTTGTTTTTCTTCCAGGCTGGATGGATCCCATGTCAGTTTCGTTTATGAGTTTTAACATTAAAACTACCGAAGCTCACTCGAAGCCCACCAAAAAGCATTCGACTTTTGTTCCACGAAGTCTGAAAAAAGATACAGGTAGATATAAATAAGCTGCATTCATATGTTTATATATATATATATAATCCCAGATTTCTCATAACATCGCGACCCCAAATCCCATTCGCACTTGGGAGTTTCGAAGGGGGAATCGTGATGGCTTGATTTAAATTAAAAATTTATTGCATTTTTATTTTTTTTTTTGTTCCACCTATTATTGCATATTGCCCTGAAAAAAATGTACAAGTTTGTATTTAAGTTTATATAGACGTGTGTGTATAAATTAAATTTGTGAGCGCCTGTGAACGCGCACAGGGCCAACAACCGGCAACATGCATGAACATGCCATGAACTCGAATTTCCAACGCCAACGGGTTAAGGATGTCCTGGCCCGGGGAAAACAGAAAGATAGGGTGGCAGAGGGAGTGGCAGTGGGAGTGGGATTGGTAGGGGGATGAGGCCATATGTACATATGTAGAGTACCTTTGGATATACCGAAAGGCAAAGGAGCCCCGGTGGGTGCTCTCTGTTGAGTTAAGGGTCTGGCGGTCTGGCACTTCAGCAACCGTTTTGATTACTCGCATGTTTTCGCGTGCAACTAAATTAGCGCACGTGTAATCAAGTTCTTTTCGCTAAAAAAACAACGAAAAAATATGGAAAATTTACATTGAAGCTCATATGAACCTCCTTCCTTCTTTGGCACACAAAATCCCCATCCATTAAAAGGGGTTCATATTTTTCTTCTCCGGCTTTTTTTGTTGTCGGCAGGATGTTTAAACTAAAGTAATTGATGTCCCCTTGGATGACATATTTTACGACAAGTAGAAATTCGGCAATAAATCATTGCAATCATGTTATAAAATATTCAACAGAATGGTTAGATAAGGGGTACATTGGGTTATATTTTCTACATTGTGGCTAACAGTTAGTTTCTGAGCTTGAAATATTTATGTGTCATGGAAGGACAAAAACACAAAATAAATCTTAATGTTTTTTTATAGTTACATTTTTGTTTCTTGCTGAAATAAAAATATAAATTATTATCCATACTTTCTGATGTATACTAACGATAATAAACTGAACATTTAACTCATAAAACTAATTTAAATTAACTCAAAACCAGATAGGATCAGAAATTGTAACATATTGAATTTAGAAGCAAAACTGATTTATCTTAGGTCCCCAACCCTGTATTAAGTTTGATAATCAATATTAACTCTGTTTTTAGGGCAACCTAATAAACGATATCATGTTCTAATAAAAAACATCTGTTGCAATATGAAGAATAATCTATAATATTTCTAAACCGTACACAAATATTTTTCCGATTCTGGTTTTTTCCTGATAAGATAAAAGTACTTGAACGCGTTAAAACTATTTAGAAGAAGGGGTAATTTTGCAATGAGCTTCGCGAAGTAATTTTACTTCGTAGTTTTATTTAAAATCCTTTATGGATCAGGTGGATGAGAAACAATTTTTCCGCTTGCAATGACTCGGGCAGCCAATTTCTGATCAATTATATACTCAATAACGGAACGAAATTTTCCAAGCGGTACAAACGAAGGGAAATCCTGTTCATTCATCGTCATGTTTTGCACTTCATAGCTTATGTTCTGCGGAAAAGCGGTTAATTATTAACATTGTTGTATTTAAAAAAATACTTACAGCTTGAAAGGGACACTTAAATTTCGTATTAGCATGTTTTCTCAAATTTTTGATGTATATATTAAACAATTTGTTTTTGCTAGCATTGTCCAATAAATAACATGCATCTAACTGGACATCAAAAAGTGTCATTTTCTGTCTACTTTTAAGCTTCCAAAAATCCAAAACGGCATGTACTTTTAAATTTGTAACCGTATATTTAAAAGTATGACTCGAGTCCAAGTAACTGCGATTGTTGAACTGGAAGACCTTGCAATCAAAACTTTCATAAACCTCTGGATCAACATGGGTGATGTTGACTTGGTCAATGAAAAGTCGAAAGTTTCGTTCTTCGGTTCTCATACTTTTAAATATGAGAAAACAGCAGATCCAAAACCATAACTTCATGACTGTGGGCAAAAGCAAACTGAATTATTTCCATTGATTTGACTGAAATAAAAACTTATTTTTGAGACAACTAATTGTTGCACAGTTTTTCTGTTGCGTTACTTTATGATCCGTTAAAATTTATTGTTCGTTTTGTAACTTTATGACCCGTTAAAATTTAGGTATAAAATTAATTTAATTTGTTTAGACGGGATGCTATTAATATTGTAAAGATTGTTGGTTTTAGCGGCCCGAACAACTCAGCCATGGATTGTTAAATGCAGAGCTTTTCGTGTTTTAACAAATATAATCAAGTCCGAAATAAAATACATTTCCACAGTATAGCTAAGTATAAGCTTTGTATTGATTGTGAAGTTATTTATATAACACCTTTTGTTCTTTTTATACGTTCATAAGTTCACTAACAATCGGAAATTTTTTGGGCTTTCATTTTAGCGAACAAATAAGTTATGACCAACACATTTTTTAGTCAAAGATAATACCATAATAAAATTTTAATTATTGATTATTAATTAGACCATAATAATATTTTTAAGTTACTTTATAATATGTGAGCATAAGGTATTTTAAAGGTGTAATAATATTGATAAGCTTGACCAGATGAATTTTTATATAAGTACAAGACCAATTATTCTTTGCCGAATTTAAAGTTTGATATTTGTTTTACTTCTCTGGTAACATGATTAATTAATATTCAGGGTATTTTATTTATAGGCTATTACTTTTCCGCGGACTGTAATGCGGCATCCTATATTACTTTGGTTAACATAATATTCGGTTAAGCTGCGATACGTTCCAAGCGGCACAAATGAGGGAAAATCCTGCTCGTCCAAATATAGTTTTTCTAGTGTATAATTAAAGTCCTGCAGGAAGATGTTATATTAAATATATTTATTTAATTTTTGTATACTTGAAATTATACGAACCGCTTTGAGGGGACACTTCAGGTTTGAGAACTTTTTTAAACTTTTTGCATATATGCTAAACATTCTGTTTTTATGCGCACTACCCATGAAAAGGCAGGCATCCATTCGAGCATCGTACAGCTTCATTGCTTGACCATTTGACTTCCAAAAATCCAAGGCGGTGCGAACATTCAACTTGACAATGCTACGTCTTAGCCTCATTTGGCAATCGGCATAGCTCCGATTGTTAATTTGAGAAACCTGGCAATCAAACTTTTCGATTATGTCCGTGTCGTAAATCCTAACGCTTATGTCGTCGTAGAATATTCGAAAGTTTCGCTGCGCTGTGCTAACGCATTTGAAAATAATTAACAAACGGATCCAAAACCAAGTTCTCATGTTAAACGCTAATATTGCAATGCTACAGTTCTATTTAATGTTAATTTGGTTGACTGGATGTCAAAGTTGTTACGGTATAGAGCCTAATTATTTTCTAGTTAAATATGATTTTCAATTTGCGATACACTACTAATATAATAGTTAATAATTGCTTTCTTGCCAGTAAAAACAAAAGATTGTAGTAAATTACTAATTGATAAGAAACTAAAAAAATAAACTATATTTTTGTTTTAGGAGTAATAATTATAGCCTTAAAGTGACTCATGTTCATTTGGATTTACACAAGGTTAAATATATTTTTTAATTTTTCGAAAGCTATACAAATTCATAAAGAATAAAAGACATATATAAACTATTACACATTTTAAATTTTAAAAATAGGTATGGATCTAGTTATACTTATTGGCAACTACTTTTCCTTGAGTGATAATTCGCAATACCATCCGGTCTTGTGTAAAATATTCAGTAACAGTCCGAAATTTACCAAATGGAACAAACGGAGGTAGATCATTCTCATCCATATGCCACTTTGTCAACGTATAGTTGTAATTCTGTGAAAAATTGTTAATTATTGGCCTTGTTATGTCGAAATTAATTGTTTTTTGCTTACCGATTTTAAGGGACATACAAGATTGGCATTCGTGTGTTTTTTAAAGCTTTTTACGTAAATTTGAAACAATCCAAAACGGTGAGAAGTTCTCAGAAAAAGACATGCATCTAATCGACCATCGTACAACTTCATTTTCTTTTTATTTGAGGCCTGCCAGTAATCCATACTTGTGTGCATTAATAATTCCTCCACATCAGACTTTAAAGTCATCCCACCGTCAACGTAGGTTCGATTGTTAATATTAACGATTCGAAAATCGATATAATCGATCAGATCGCGTAACCTATATTTTACTGAAAACTCATCCATCCTTATGCGAAAATTACGCTCCTCACAATTTACGCAAGCGTGGACGGTAATCCAAAGTGTCCAGATTAAAGTATTCGAGGCCAACGCTTTCATTTTAATGTCAGCCGATTACGATTAGTAGTGCTGATATAACGATCATGGACTATGCTCATGCTACATCCGGCCAATTAAGAACTCGTTGTTTGATAATATAATTATATAATAATTTCAACAAATTGGTATCGTTGAAAAAAAAAAACTACCAAAAATAATGAGTTGAGTTTGGCTAGATTAATTCCGATAGGAATGATTTTGTGTGTATTAACTTATTATAATGGTATGGGTTGGAAAAAAAATATTATATTATATTCAAGAAATCAATACAATCAGCATACGTGGCATACTTCACTTTTATGGAAACCTTAAGAAAAATTTACAAACATGATTTTTCAGCTTTCAAAAAGGAATACATTTCGTATACGTAATTTTACTAGTAATTTTGATATACTAAGTAGTTTACCATTAGATGTTTTATGTATGTATATGTATTATTATTTATTGTTAAATATACAAAGGTATATAAACTATCTTTATAATTTATTTTTTTTTCAATTTTTTTCCCCCACATTGTTTTTATGATTTTTATGTTGCAGTTTACAGTTTTTCCAAAACTTCACCGTGTACTACAATACGTATTGCCAATCGCTGTTGTGTAGAATATTCGGTGATTGTACGGAATTTACCAAGAGGGACATACGGGGGCAGATCCTTCTCATCCAAAAACCAATCCACCATTTTGTAACTATAGTTCTAAACGAAAAAAATTTCTTAACAATGATTCAGTTTTATTTTAATTTTACCTACCGCCTTAAATGGACACAGCAAAATTACATTAGAATGCTTTTTAAAGCTCTTCACATAGAGGTTAAAAAGTTTATTTTTGTGAAGACTTCTTAGTAAGTTACAACCATCTAAACGAACATCATATAACTTCGTTTTTATTTGAGTGTTTGGTTTCCAAAAATCCATGATGGTACGAACATTCAAATCTCCAACACTTCTTTTTAAAATCATCTCGCCGTTGACGTAGCTTCGATTATTCAATTGGACCAAATGACAATCCACCTTTTCGAAAATGTCTGTCACCTTATACTTTATCGCAAACTCATCAAAGTAGATTCGAAAGTTGCGTTTATCACTATTGGCGAAGTTTATTAGGACATATAGTCCACACAACAAATACGACGTTTTCATGGCCAATGTTTATACTATAATGCTGCTTGATTTTTAGCAAAAAAGTCTACAGTTTTTTGTGCCGAGTTTCAATCTATTTTCGTATTTATTTAATTTGGTTCTGGTTGATATTATTGTAATTACGATAAAATAAGCTAGACAATTTTGTATTTAACTAGTTATTACTGGTGTACGAATTGAGTTACATTATGGTAATTGTTCATGCGAAAAAAATCAATCCTCGCAGGTAATGATTGGCCACAAGTAAAGTCCTTGATTTTATTATATCAAATATTTAAATATTCCTCAAATTATTAAATATTTAAAATTATCTAACCAGAAATTATTTTTTAAAAGTTGCTAGACAAACTTTTCTATAAATAAATTCAAAAGCTTCTTATTTTATTTAAGAACATAATTATTAGGATATTATTATGGTCTAAAATGTTTCACAAGCAATCTTCCATCAACTTGCATATGAGCCAGTAGCTTTGATTTGTGCTGAAACGCCATTTTCATGCGATAAGTGCACTCTGGAAGGAGATCTGGTAGCAAAGCCTCGTCGATATAGGCCCTAGTCAGGGTGTAGTTATAATTCTAGAAAAAATAGAAAAAAGAATTTTAAAATGTTTCTAAAAATATGATAACAGTATATTTTTTAAATTCTACTTATCGTTAAGTATACTATACGTATGCTCAAATTTAAGTTATTTATTTTATTTTCAAAACTCACCGCCTTTAGTGGACACTTTGGTTTAGTATTGAGAAAATCTGCATAATTATTGTACATCATTTTGATGAACTTATTCTTGTAGCCATTATTAAAAATCGAACAGAAGTTTAGCTTAACGTTATATAGGCGCATTTCCGGACGCGGCGGGCGCAAAATGTCCATTGACGAAAGAAGTGTTAGCTCATTGATCGGCCGATTGATCATTATGTGACCCGAGAAATAACTGCGATTGTACTCCTGCTCGAGAAAGGCACTTTGTGACACAAACAGGTCCTGAACATCGACAGTGAAGACGAACCGATCCACGTGCACCACATGGGCACACAAAAAGCAGTTTGCCAGTAAACCGAAAACGAGGAGGCTAAGCTTGTGGAAAGACATTCGGAAGACGCTTGACTTGGCCACTGGATAACTGGCTGGCTACGAACCAACTACTAATGGGGGATTCCATTGTGCTTGTAATTATGAGCTGACGGAGCGAACCCTAATGGCTTTTTAAATGGTGTCGTCTGCTCTAAATTGCCGCAATCTCTCAATATGTCAACAATACGTATTCATATACACATGAATTATTTTTTTCATGTGTTTTTTTTTTTCGACGTTGTTTTTGGGTCTTTGAGTCGCTTTCAGAAATGCAAAAAAAAAAAAAAAAAAAGATTTCATACATGCACACAAAAGTAAAATGAAAATGTTTCACGTATGGAAAGATTGAGTTGAGAAGGCGGCTAAGTACATAAAAAGAGTAAAAATGAAAGAAATGACAAGAGGGGAAAAAGAAAGCGAAACCCCATTTTATCGACGACTATGTTACCCAGTGTCAAATCAGAAACTAAACGTTGTACACAACTTTTTATATGATATTGTAAAATAATGAGATAAAAATGGGAAAATCTACATTAAGTTATCTGAGCTAAAAAAAAACAACTGAACTTATAATGATTAAAGTAGAGAAAAATTGTTAATCTGTTTGTTCTAGAGTGATTCGAAAATCCTTTATTAATGTTACAATTTTGTGTTTATTTTTGCGTTAACTAGCGCAAGTGATTTGACCCATGAACCTCATAAAACAGTGTTTAGAACTAAAACTTAAATGGAATTAAAATCACCGAAATATGTAGTTCTTCCCAGTACAGCTCCAATGTTTTTTGAGGACCAGAAATAGTGCATAACTAGATGGTCTCATCTCGAGTACACCTTTTCATATTTCACCGTGTTCAGGACGCAAAACGCGACTCCAAGGATGTCAACAGAAGTGTTAATAACACCAGCGATACCGAGCTGCAGCTGGAAGAACCAGGGCCCAAGGATGCAGATGGAGATGGGCAGGATTTGCCTTTGCCCGGCAGCCAGCCGAAGCAAAAACAGTGGCCGTAAAACAGAGGAGCAAAGCGCAGCGCAGTGGAGTGGAGTAAAATAAAGGAAAGTACAGACGAACAAGGCAACGCAGGCGCCCGGCCCAGTCGAGTGTAGTTCAAACATCACACCTACCGTCTGGGATCTGGAGAGTCTCCTCGACTCGTCTGCGGATGGTGCTGTGGTCCATATTATGTAAACATTTGCCAGGCTTCAATCTTTATTTTTCCTTTGTCCCCTTATCCCAGCTCGCGTTTCCATGGTTCCTGGCGGAGTGCGTGTGGGTGATGGGTTTCAGCCGGCTTTGAGGATTCCTGGCTCAGGGCTCTCAATCGAAAAAGGGTGCAAGTTTTTTGCATGACACAACAGAAAGACGTAACTTTCTTTAACTAACCAAAAACATTTTTGTCAAACCAATTTTGTTAGTTGTAAACCCAAAAAAATGGTCACATAACACTTTAGGAATCAACCTAACAAATCAAGTTCAATTCACCTCCATGAATTATAAATTTTTTTTAAAATAAATTGCTTGCAGTTTTAAATTAGGTTTATTTTATTTGCTTTGTGGGGCCAGAAAATTAAGTTTGTGTGCTCTTCATTATGTACTTTATAACTTACTTAACTGCCATATAATTTCATTGTCAGTTTATAAGTTTCAATTCACTGCAAATGACAAATCAATAGCCTTTAGATTCAATATGCGTGCTGAGCTGCTTGATGTCCACGACCTAATATTGTTCTGGCAAGGAAAACAATCTAATTTTCTCATTTTCATATGCCAATTTCCCAAAGTGACCAATTTGTCCAAGTGCAATTAACACAGCCCATACCCATCCATGCTAATGGGGCCAGGGAAAAGACTCGGACTTCTATTAGCCGACGTGTACTTGGCAACAAACTAAAAAGATTGTTGCGTTGCATTTTAAATATCGAGGTGTATATATTATGCAAATTTGTGCAATTTTCATTCATGCCTCCGTATATATATATAAATATATATATATATATATACATATATGATAGGACCAGTAGCAAACTACAGCTCTGCTGAACTGAACCACAGCGCCAGGCCTTAATTAGTCTTTGTGAGCGTGTGAGGCTCATTTCATATGCAAATTGCAGTCGATTGGTTTCGCATTACATAATTAATAATTCAACGAGAATGCATGTCAATCACACGCACGAATACGCCACCAAGGAACCCACACAACAGACGAGCTAAGGGAAACCCAAGCAAAAATCCTGCGGTTTCTACCATTGTGGTCCGTTAGGGATATTATTATAGTATAGTTAAATATAGGTGTGAATATTCACAAGTTGCAATTATAAATGTGTAATAATAGGGTTCTGAGCTGAAAATCGAACTGTATACCAATGGTGAACCAGTTTTCAAAAGAAAACGTTTAACGCCCGATTTCACATTCTTATAGTAAAATTAAGTCTTAAAATATTGAAAACCAAGCAGGGCAGTATTAAATTAACCCTTACGCCAAAATTCATAATAGAATCTATGGTGTTATACGATCGGAATACAAAATGGCAACTGGCCTCGATACCGATGTCTATATCAATATTTACTTCATTGGCGTTGGTTTTCGGCCCATTTGTGCAATCAATAAATTTTACAGTCGAATGCACAGGTGCCTGGCATCATCAATTTACGCATCAAGTGGACGCCTGCATTGGAAACCAAATGGGAGTGGCAGCCAAGAAGGAGAAATTCGGTTTTTCGAAACGAAATTGATTAACATTTTCCGATCATTTTCCGGCCATTAAATTGTTTCCCGTTTAAAAGACAAAACGCGTTGGAAAGTTTAAAATGCGTTTTTGGGTGTTTGGTTATTTTTGATTTGAATGTAATGAATTTAAGTTGGTTACAGTCGCTACAAGTATTACAGCTGTTGATGAAACTGCTATGCAGTAGCATATTTGCTGCCCTTACCCCGTGTCTGCAAACACTCGTTAAAAATCACTTAAAATTCCATCATCATAAATTTGTCAAAAAATTCACTCACTTGCTCTGAGCGAAGCTTTAACGTGTCGACATTGATGCTGTCTTTTGTCTACTATCATACTCCCTTCCTCTTTTGGGATTAGTTTTCCGACCAACACCACAATGGTCTTCATTTCCCATGCACAAATGGCTCTTCAGATTCTGCGAATATCATTGTATAAAATGTTTTGGCAAGGTCGTAGGAAAGTTAAGTTTTTTTCGTAATTTAAGATGTTATTGTTAAGTTTTGAAAATACATTTTTTTTTTAAATATCTATATTATATAAAATTTATTAAATATGGTATGAGCAATTTAAAAAACTAAATAGATTATAAAAAGTAAAGCTAAGCATTTAATTATGATTTTTTTTTAATCGAAAATTGTGCTTTAAAATCAAGTTTAAATTGTATATTATGGTTGCCTTTTTGGCTTCGGTGTATTAAGTTCTGGAACAACTATGTACATGGGAACTGGCGCTGCCAGAGCAGAAAAAACTTCTTCAAGACAAATGAGCTTTCCTTTAAGACCATTCGCCGTCTAAGTTTTCTTATGACAACCTTTAGTTTATTACTTTTGGTTTATGTTTTCGTCAGTTGGCCGAATGTTTTATTTTAGCGGCCGCCGCAACAGCAGGGGGCAAGTTCCGCCGAGTACCGCCCCAGCCACTCCGTAAGGGCCCCAAAGCCAACTGCTTTTTGTGGCAAGGTCTTTTTGGCCACCATGGCTCCATGATGACTTCAATTTTTGGCAACAAAACGCAGCTAAAAGTTGCTGCAACAGCAAAAAAAAAAAAAAACGGGGGGTTAAAAGCAAAAAAAACTCTTAGCCCAAGGCAAAAAAGCAATAACAAAATATTATTATCAGAATCATTCATCATGTGGCTGCAGGCAATAAATTTTGGGCTTGCTCCCAAATGCAACAACAACAACCAAAGCAACAACAAGAATAAAAGCCATAATGTGCCAGCTGAGAAGAAGAACTACAATTATTGTAGCACAGTCGGTAGGTACAGAGCCTTTTGGCTAACTGTTAATAAATCGCAGTGCTAGATATCAGCGAACAGTTAGCACAGTTAGCTTGTGGGCCAAAGGCAGCAGCTGCTGATGTGGCGCCCCGCCCCATATCCACCCACCCCCTTTTTCAGGTACGCCCCCGTCTTACCCCGCCCCACCGCAGACGCATAAAAGTTCGGGGGCTTTACCCCCGTAACGAACTTTAACTTTAAGCGAGGCGTGGCCAGGGCTATAAGGCATTAACATAAAACTCCAAAAATACAAAAGACTGACGGGGAGTAATAAGTAAAACGAAATGAAAATAGTAACTGCTAAGAGTTTCCACTGTTTTAGTAGCAAGAGGCAGTCAGCTGCTCAGCCAAGCTGTAAATTTGCGCATTATTTAAGCTGCTCTATCTTTTCTTTTAAACTTTTGTCTTCAGACACCGGAGTTAAGATAACTCAGCATATAACTTTTCCTATGACTAAAATCCCTATTTTTTATATTGGTTTGCCTTTAATATTGTTCTTCAATTTAAATAATGAAATAGTTGTGTTTATATATGATTTATATTATATGCTGCAAGTACATGGAATATTCATGTAGATTCTGCATATCTATTTATGTCTATAAATAAATAATATCGTTTTGTGCCACCCGGATAAAACTACGCAACGATGTTTAAACTTAAAGATATGAAAATATAAATTATATATTTAATTTGCAATGCATTACTTTCCTTTGTTCATAAACGAGCTTACCCTCGCCTCATTCTCTTCTTCTACCTAATGAATAAAACAAACTAAAGAAGCGGGACAACAAAAATAGAGTATGTCGACTATAAAATACCTTTTTTTAAGTTGAAAGCAACTAATTCCGACAATAGAATAAATTTTATTTTTTGAAAGCAAATAATGTATTGTCTTAAAAACATTTGTATTATTTTGTTATTTGTGAAATTACATTTGCCACAATAAATTATTCCGAAATATTATGGTTTGAAACTGCAAATGCGACAAGTTTATTTATGCGCTATGGGTTCCGCCAATATTCTTTTAATGGTCTTAAATAACACTGGCTTTCCTCTTATTTGCCATTGCCGCTTCTTAAGTTCCTCTTTGAGACACATTTTGCAAATTGCATTTCATTCCTGCACTTCCTCTCAACCAGTCCCGTTCTCATTTGCAATCATTATTATGGTCAGAATAAACGAAATCGTCATCTCCAACGTGCCCAGCCCAACATCATAATCAATTCAGTTGCAGTTCCAGTTGCCCTGCCCCCCTTTTCACATCCCCGCCGCCACTGGTGCTCGCTCATCGTCATTCTCTTTGCCACTTGTTTGATAAATAATTGTTCGTCGTTTAGTAGGTACATACACTATAAACATGCAAAGTAAAGAGCACATTGTGTATTCTCGTGCCAGTCCAGCGGGTGACCACATGCTGTGCCTGTGCCGCCCCAGAATTCCCCGCTTCCTTGGCTAACGGCATTGGGGAAACCGCAAAGCTATAGTAGCCATAAGCTAGGCCATGTACTTTGAAAGCCCCTCGCTGTGCCCTGACCACATCATCGAATGCAAAATGCTAAATGCGAAATGCAAAATGCGAAATGCGAAATGCTGAATTCGAAATGCAGAAGCGGCGTAATTGCCACCGCACCAGAGACCCAAAGCTGAAACCAATAAACCAGCACACGTCGATTAGTTGCACATGAGTGCGGCAACATCGGGGATTGGGCATCGGGTGTGGTGGTCAGGTGGTCAGTTGAAATCCCGCCTCCGAATTTACCTTCGTTACTGCGGCTGCTGCCAAGACTGACGGTCGACAAACTACAGACAGTAAGTCCATTTAAGCCACGTCTTAAGGACGCCGGCTTACGGCCATAACAGTTTCCAATGCTGTGACATGCTTTGGCTAAAATGGTTCTAATGGTCATCTAATAAGACAGAGTTTTCGTTTTAGATAAATTTAACAACCTCAGCCATCTTATCTTTACAGATAAAACCACTTTAATTCACTAATATCCAGGTACTATAATTTATTTTCACCTGTTAGGGTGATCAAATATCTCAATTCAGAGTTGATTTTACTGCTTTGTTTTTAATTTTTTTAAATTGTGAGGAACAAATCCAAAGAACCATGTTAAGTTCGTTTTTAAGACTGTTTCGATTTTGAAGCCTCTGCATCTTTAAGAGCTTAAAGCAAATTTAGTTGACCCACGTTAACCCAAGCTCTTGACCCATGTTAGCCTGAGCTTTTGAGCCGACTGTCCCAAGGTGTTGCTGCCTGTCTATGATAAAATAGATGAAAAGGTGGAACCGCTGGTGGCACGTTACCCGGCAACGAATTCTCAATATTTGCGTAACAGGGGCGGCCTTTTGGGCTCGCCGCTTCACCGCCTCCAATGGACAGACTACGGCCAACCGAACCCAACTAACCGGCGATTGCTCATTTGCTATCAACGAGGAGCGCCTTCGCCGCATTCCATGCGATGGAGCAGAGAACGGCCATGAATTTTGCATTTTCAGTTTGCGTGTATTTTTAGCTGGGTCGTCCGCTGTTGGGCAGGCCTGTGATTCATCAAAAGAGCGGCGACAGCTGACAGGCCGACAGCTACGCATAGAAATGAATTATACAAAAACGAGATAGACAGTGGGCACTACGACGACCGCCTCACCCCATGGGGAAACACCTGAGGCGTCGGCTAGGACGACGCGTATTGCCTACGATTATTTTTTATTAGTTGAACCCCCAAACCAGTTGACAAAAGGCAACGAACGCCGACGACCAGAACAAGCTTAAAATCAACGCACACAAAAAGACCGCAGCTTTAATGCTCTTTTTCGAAAAAAACATCACTTATCGTTAGATAGATTAGATAAAGACTGACTCAGCTTTAAAGTTCAGATTTATTTTCAGGCAAAACTTAAGACA